CCCCAAAACCCCAAAACCCCAAAACCCCAAAACCCCAAAACCCCTGTGACATACTATTGAAAATTTTTATGGAATCTATCTTTTGAATAGAATTAATTCACTATTATTAATTATATATAACAAATTTGAAAGTTTCATAGATGGTAGACAATCAAGCCAAGGACATCGACATTGATCATATTATTGACAAGCTTCTCGAAGTCAGAGGGTACTATATTCTCCACCTAACTCATTCTTAATTAGATGCCGCCCAGGAAAGCAAGTCAACCTCACCGAGCAGGAAGTCAGAGGACTTTGTCTAAAATCTAGAGACATCTTTATTAACTAGCCCATACTTTTAGAGTTAGAGGCCCCAATTAAGATTTGCGGTAAATATTTGCAATCTCACTAATTTTTTCTTATTTTTATTTCGAATAGGTGATGTTCACGGACAATATTACGATCTTTTGAGATTATTCGAATATGGAGGTTTCCCCCCTGATGCTAACTATCTCTTCCTAGGAGACTATGTAGACAGAGGTAAATAATCTCTCGAGACTGTTTGCTTACTACTTGCATACAAAATTAAATACCCTGAGAATTTCTTCTTATTGAGAGGAAATCACGAGTGTGCCTCAATCAACAGAATCTATGGTTTCTACGACGAATGCAAGAGAAGGTACAATATCAAGCTTTGGAAGACTTTCACTGACTGCTTTAACTGCCTCCCAATCGCTGCTATTATTGACGAGAAAATTCTCTGCATGCACGGAGGTCTCTCACCAGAACTCTCTTCTCTAGAGCAAATCAAGAGAATTATGAGACCAACTGACGTCCCAGACACTGGTCTTCTTTGTGATCTCCTTTGGTCAGATCCCGACAAGGATGTCCAGGGATGGGGAGAGAATGACCGTGGAGTATCATTCACTTTTGGTCAGGAAATTGTATCAGCTTTTAATAAGAAACACGACATCGACTTGATCTGCAGAGCACATCAGGTAGTAGAGGACGGTTACGAGTTCTTCGCCAAGAGACAACTTGTCACTTTGTTCAGTGCCCCCAACTACTGTGGTGAGTTCGATAACGCAGGCGCTATGATGTCAGTGGATGATACCCTCATGTGCAGTTTTCAGATACTCAAACCTGCAGAAAAGAAGCAAAAGTTCACCTACGGCGGAATGGGTGCTGGCAGACCAATCACTCCTCCTAGAGCCAAATACTGAGCCAGAGAGAAAGTTAATGAAGGAATGGGTGGAAAATATCCACGCCGAAATTATAATAATCCTTAACATGATTTACTCAATAATAATTCAAACATAATTGTATTTTATTAAAGCTAATAATGTCGCTAAAGTGTATTTAAATTAAAATAATTTTAAAGTATATACCGCCAATTAGTGATAATTATGGAGGATTTCAGAGATTAATTCCCAGATTTAGATGAACACAATGAAATGAAGGTACATTTTGCTTATTACTTTAATTACAATACAGCTGATAGGAATGTGCAGAAACTTTAACATCGATGAAGAAGATCTTTGTCTTAAATTTGAAGCCTAGAAAACAAACTGGATGAATCAAAACTCAGACTAATGGAATAAAGTTGAAGCTCCTTTTGAGATTATTTATGATATTGTGCTCACTTAACTCTAGCAACAGCAGGCAAAGTCAAAGCAGACTGCTGGAAAATCTTTAGGAAATGTCAATTCAAACATAATTAATAAAAACTAGCAAGCATTGCCCATTAACAGTTTGAGAGTTAACGCAATAAACAATGGCTCTTCAATAGGATTGAATGGTATGAAGAATGAGGCAAGATACCTAACAGACTTATTAACTCAGGCTAAAAAGAAGTCTAATTTGAATTCTAAGTAAAAGGGTGGAGAAGGCAAGATCGAGTAGGAATTAGATTAGCTTTATATCTCAAGGAAGTCAAGAGGAAATCAAAGACTTACTTTTAATGATCAGATTACAAGGAGAACTGGATTACAGAATATCGGAGGTTATTTCCAAATTAATGTCAAGCCTATTGAGAAATTCGAGATTTTGAATCTTACTTCTTTATAAAGGGTGCACGGACTGCAGAAGCATTTTGATTATATAGAGAATGTGATGAAGCATCAACTAAGGACCGAGACCTTCAATGATCTTGGAGAGACTGGAACTGATGCCCAAAGGATCATCGGAAGAGTAGTAGCATTTAATGCAGATGAGGAGAAGTTTTCGGAGAATAACGTTGGACTCATTAACTTAAGTGAGGACAACTAATTCGATACTCATAAAATGAGACTTAATATGAGTGAAGTAAAGTCCTTCTCATTATTCGAGGGAGAAGTTATTGTAGCTGAGGGCTTCATTGATATTTCCACTGCTTCTAAATTCAATGTTACTAGAATTCATAAGCCAATGTCTTCAATTCCTACAAGCAATATGGGACTAAGTGAAGTGAGAGACATAACTAGTCAATATTACAGAGATAAGCATCTAAACATAATGATTGCCAGTGGTCCATTCACTTTTAAGAACTCCTTGAGCTACAAAGGACTTTAAGACTTTTTAGAGATTGTCAAGAAAGAACAACCTCAAGCAGTTATACTCCAGGGTCCATTCTTAGACTTTAGCAACCTTGATATTTACTCAGGAGAATTATTCTACGATGATATCAAGACTATGGAGAAAGTATTTGTTACTCATGAAGAGCTATTTTAGGACTTAATTAATCAGATTCAAAATGAGCTCTAAGAGCTGAAAAATACTTAAGTCATTTTCGTACCATCACATAAAGATATCCACCATATTCAGCCTTTACCCTAGCAGCCATTCCACCCTAAATAATTTAACAAAATGTTTAACTAGGCTATTCTAGCTGGAAATCCCTCCATGGTGTAGCTTAATGATATTAGGATAGGAATTATTAACGCAGACTTTGTCAAGGAAATGTGCTAAACCATGATTGCAAAGAATATGGAACCACCAAAGATCGATCTTTCACTATAGGCTGTTTTCTAACAAAAACTGCTGTATCCACTCTATCCACCCAACCATGAGACACCTATTGAATACTCTGAGATACAATAAATGATGCTTGACTAATCAGGAACTCCTGATATTCTTTTGACTTCGTCAGATCTAATTCAATTTTCAAAGGTAAGTTTTAAGAAATTTGATATATTATACCTATAGAATATTGATGGATGTATTTGCATTAACCCTGGTCAAATAATAAAAAGTGATGCAGGTGGAACCTATTGTTCAATTACACTTGAACCTTTTGACTATGTGCAATATGTAAGTTTATATTAGATTTATTCTTAAATCAATAATAGCAAGGAGATTAGTCGAATGTAAACTTATAGCTAAGCAAAAGAATTAGAGTAGAAATCATAAATATCTGAGTAAGGAAGCAAGTCTGTTTATTTAATGAGTTGTGAGTCAATTGTGTTACTTGTAATTTATTCATAATATAAACCAACTAATTCAATCTTGCTTCTTTTCGGCGGGGTTTTGGGGTTTTGGGGTTTTGGGGTTTTGGGG